CAGGCTGTCTTAGGGTCCCTCGCCAGGCCTCCTTGTCCTCCCCTCTGCTGCAAGGCTGCCCTCTCACCAGGGCCCTTGGGTCAGCCCCCTGCAGCGCTCCTGGTTGGCAGACCTCCATCAACATGCTGACCCACAGCTGGGAGTGGGGTCTATGGGGTGGGTGGGAGACGGGAGCTGGCCCAGCCCCAGAGCTCACAGTTCCTGTCCCAGAACCAAGCCGGTCAAGGCACGGATGGTCATAGCCTGTCCCACCCACCTGGCAGGGACCCTCCTTGGCCAGCCCCCATCCTGCCCCCCTCCCCAGTGCCGTGGAATCCCTTGCACTTCCTTTCTCTGAAGCCCCCATGTGGCCTGCCCTGCAAAGCACCCCCCCACACTCAATCCTGCCCAATCCATGGGCACTCCAGTGGCGGAACTCAATGAGCAGTTGGGAGCAGAGGGCTTGGAAAGGCTGCAAGAGCAGCACCACGAGGACAGTCAGGCAACCCGGAAATTAAATGCTACAGGAGACTGCTGCCCGGCCCGAGGAGCCAGGGGAGGGTTGGGTCCCCGGAGGGCCAGACTGCTGGAGGTGCCCTCTGTGACCTTGGGCAAGCTTTGTTCCCCTCTGAACGCGTAGCTGTGATACGGGGATTTGTGCAGATGAAGCAAGGTGTCAGCACCTAGCACGGCGCTGGAACGTAGTAGGCGCTTTACGAAGGACAGCGGGCATTTATCAAGGGCACCCACCAGGGAGAGAGGGGAGCCCTGCCACCCTGGTGCCTTGGCCTTAGCAGCCGGAGGTCACAGGTTCTGGGAGAGGCTTGAACTTGAACTCATCTGAAAGGCCGATGCCAAGTAGGTCTAGGGAGACAGGGCTGTGAGCGACAAAGGGGATTGGGCCAGAGGGGTGGGGAGAGCCCCAGACCCCACACAGGGTGTCTGCCCCCAGAGCGCCCCCTCTGTGCGCTCCATGGCTCCGCACTGGCTGGGAGTAGCCAATGCCATGTGGTCCAGAGGGCATCCGCCAGGCTGCGCAGCAGGATTTCCAAGAGGAGCCTGGCCCATGTGGCCATGTGAGCCAGTTCCACACAGGTGTCAGGGATGCTCAAGGAAAAGGATTGTGTGTCACCCAAAGCAAGGTGGTCAGTCCCACCATCTCTGTACTGTGGGGGCCCCAAAGGGGATGGAAGAAAGTTGTGCCCGGGGAGGGCCCCAGAACTCCAGGGGAGGAGTGGTCTGGCCACAGTGGGTCTTGGTGTGGGCATGGCAAAAGCCTCAGGAGAAGGCAAGGGGGTGGTTCTCAAGGGCCTTGCCCAGGAAGACCAAGAGGTGAGTGTCCAGAGGGAGGGGCGGTGGCCTGGGGGTAGTGGCTGGGCTCCTCGAGGTCACATGGGGCCTTCGACCCTGGGGACTACAGAAAGGTTAAAATATAATCAGGGGCACCTTGGTGGCGCAGTCGGTTGAGCGTCCGACTCTGGATTTTGGCTCAGGTCATGATCTCAGGGTCGTGAGATTGAGCCCTGGGTCAGGCTCTGTGCTCAGCAGGGACTCTGCTTGAGATTCCCTCTCCCTCTGCCTCTGCCCTCCCCACCCCCTGTGCACTCTCTCTCTAAAAATAAATACATCTTGGGCGCCTGGGTGGCTCAGTCGTTAAGCGTCTGCCTTCGGCCCAGGTCATGATCCCAGAGTCCTGGGATCGAGCCCCACGTCGGGCTCCCTGCTCCGCGGGAAGCCTGCTTCTCCCTCTCCCACTCCCCCTGCTTGTGTTCCCTCTCTCGCTGTGTCTCTCTCTGTCAAATAAATAAATAAATAAATCTTAAAAAATAAAATAAAATAAAAATAAATACATCTTTAGAAATATACATATGGGGGCGCCTGAGTGACTCAGTCGGTGAAGCGTCTGCCTTCGACTCAGGTCATGTCCTGGGGTCCTGGGATCGAGCCCCGCATCGGGTTCCCCGCTCAACGGGGAGTCTGCTTCTCCCTCTGCCCCTCCCCCTGCTTGTGTGCTCTCTCCCTGTCTCAAATAAATAAATAAAATTTAAAAAATAAATAAAATAAAAATAAAAACATACATATGGTCAGGAGATGGCCTGACAAGCTGAGTGCCCTGCAGAACACATCAGCGCTGGAAGGTCACAGTGAAGGACTCTGAAGAGCCTGTGGCCTCTGTCAAGGGTAGAGGTGGATGGAGAAGGTCAGCATCCTTATCGCGTTTCCGAAGGAGAACAATTCAGTGTGAGCCTGGCCCAGTGTCTGTCCTGGCCGCCCTGCACTTGGCCACCCGGTCGTACCCCTCCCCCTGCGGGGGTACAGGGGCCAAATCTCCTGCCCCAAGGTCCTGCCCTCACACCGCTTCTCCATAAAGGAAAGACCCCAGGGGGTGCCCTCGGGATCCTCCTGCTACCGTGAGGGACTCTCCCCAGCCTACGAGCAGGCCCGACATCCCCTAGGTCTGGGTCTGACTGCCTGGGCCCTTCAGGATGGCATGCCGCCCAGGACCAGTGGCACCTTCAGCTTCAGCCCCTGCGTGGTGGGCCTCGCGGGCCAGCACTGCTCAGCCTCCCCATATCCAGGGCTGCCCCCCAGGCCACCCCACCCCCTCACCCAGAATGCAGAAGGAGGCCCAGGCAGGGCCATCCCCGTGCCCCCCTCGACCCTGCCCCCCTCTGCCCTGTCCTCACCACGGCCCACAGGCACCCCGTCCCTCACTGCTTGGGAGCAGGGACCCGCTGTCCCCCAAGAAGCTCTCCTCACATCCCCGGTGCCTGGCTCCTGCACAGCTGTTAGCCCTCCACCCGGGTCTCCCTCCTCTGGGAAGCCCCCCGCGGCACCTCCCAGCCCGGTGGCTGCCTGTCTAGCTCCAACCCTCGTGCACGTGCTGGCAGCTGGGGGCGGGCTGAAGCCCGGAGGATGGCTGGCTGGCGGGCCTTGCCTGCCTGGGGGGGCGGGGGGTGGGGCTCCACAGCACCCAGCCCGAGCAGACTTGGCTAGAGGCTCCTCTTTGTGGGAGGTCTCTGTGTGAATCACCCCTCGGGCCCAGGCACAAATGCAGGAAATCGCCATTCTATTAGACTCTATTTTCTCCCACAGAGGGGAAAGTCTGTCACACGAAGGGCATTGTTCCCCGGATCGCGTTTTCCGTGCTTTCCGGGTGGGCTCGGGCCGAGATGCGGCTTGTGCGTTCTAGGGGCTCCTGGCCGGACTGTTTCCCTTTGAGACCCAGGGGCGCCTGAGGCTGGGAATGTGGGGCCACTGTGCAGCCACCAGCCTCGGGGAGATGTGGGCGCGCCCACGGGGCAGTGTGTGTCCCAGGAGCCCGGGTCTGCACTTTGTTGGGGCCCGAGTGAGGTCAGGGCCAGGGCTCCACATGCCACCCATGTGCTCTCTGTCTGCCTGTAAGCCTTGGGGTCCTGCCTGGGCTCCGCCCCAACCCTGCCTCCCTCTCGCCAGGAGGGCCACCCCAAACCCACGCTGCGCCCCCGCAGCCTTCGAGACCTGGCCAGGGCCTGCTGTCCTGCCCCCGGGTCAGCTTGGCTCTGGCCTGCATGAGCCCTGCTGTTCTGGGGAGACCCTGCCACAGCTGGGGGACAGGGTCAGGTGGGCCCCCGGGGGCAGTGGAGGGGCAGGCTGCCCCCACATGACCCCACCCCCTGCCAGTCTGCCCCACTGCTGCCCTTGGGCCAACATCAAGTCCCACATGGGGTACATGGGGTAATGTGGGGTAAAGGGGTGGGGGTGTTGCTTACATCTCAGCTCATCTGCCACGAGCCCCTGAGAAGTGCCAGCCAGGGTTACATGGCCCACTCCTCACATCCTGCAGGATCCTGTGAGGAGCCTGGGAGCCTGGGGGTGCAGGAGCCCCAGGTTAGAGGCAGGAGCCCCAGGTTAGAAGCGGGAGCAGTGGGAGATGGGCAGGGGCTTAGGCTGAGTGTTTAGGGAGCCGTGCAGCCAGGAGGTGCAGGCCCGGGGTGGGTGTCGGGCCTTAGGGGTGGGGGAGCGGCCTCGTGAGTAGGAGGAAGCCCCAGCCTCTGGCCCCAAGCACTCAGTCCCAGCTGAGCAAACTCTGTGGCGGGGGCAGGGTGGCCAGGCCAAGGAGGAGCCCACCTTGAGAGAAGAAAGGAGCACCGCGGCCAGGAGGTTCTGGGCAGGGCAGACAGACAGACCAGAGGCGGGAGCCCCAGGCCAGACAGAACCCAGCGGAGGCACGGATCCCTGCGACGCTGAAACACGGGCCTGGGGAGGTGTCTCCGGAGGAGAAGGAACCAGGAGAGGTCACGGCAAGGCTCCTCCTGGAACAGGGAGGGATGCAGAGTGGGCAGCCCTGTCAGGGTAGACATGGGGGGAGGAGGGACAGCACGATCGGGTTTCCCTGAAGGACAAACCAGAGAAGGGGAATCTTCAGGCAAACAAAGTCCAAGGATTTGCTGAAATTACAGATGTAGGACTCAGGTGGAGAGGGCCTTCAGGGGGCACAGGGGGCAGGGGGCATGGTGTTTGGTGACGTGTCCCCACGCACCCCCATCTCTCTCGCCACCGCGGGTCATACAGAACCCACTCCTCCATCCTTCCTGCCTCCAGCCCCCACCTTTCCTCCTCACTCCCCACAGGCCTGCTCCCACCGGCTTGTTCTGAAGCAAACCCTAGGTATCGCTTCATAATTCAGTCTGTGCCGCTAAGAGACTGTTTCCCAGAAAGTGACTAATGCCATCGGCACACGGGTGCCCAGTCAGGGTTCCAGGCTCTGGGATGGCTGGTCTGATGAGGGCCTGCACATGGCCCACGCGCGGTAACTGCCTGATGTGCGTCTCAAACCTCCGTATCCTCACGTTCTCCCTCCCGCTGGAAGAAACCCGATTGTCTTGCACTTGCCCCTGCCCACGTCTGCCCTGGACCAGCTGTTGAGTGCGGGCTGGGTCAGCGTCGCTCAGCAGTGCGTTCTCCCGTTGGGAGGTGCGTGGTCTCTGGTTCTTGTCTTATTGTATTTTTTTATGTAGTAAAATATACCTAACACACAGTTGACCGTTATAACCATTTTAAAGTAATAGCATCACGAAGGACCAAGAGGAAGGCTAGTACTTGTGAGATGACTGGCAGATCAGAAAAACATAATATATATGCAACCAAAAACATAGCTTCAGAAGACAGAAAGCCACAGATGGCCAGTGACCCGCTCCAGCTCCTCTCTGCCCGTGGACAGCTCCAGCATCCGCCTGCAAAGATGTGGATTTGGAGAGGGCAACAGATAGAGGGAGGCACGTTGTTTTCTAGTACAAATGGGGCGTTCTCCAAATCAACATGTTTTGGGTCCCCAAAGAGGCCTCAGGACGCCTTCAGACGTGGAAGCGGCCACGCGGGAGGCAGGCAGGGAACGAAGCCATGCCCCACCCCCACCCATGCCACCGAAAGTGTCCCTGCCCTAGCATTCCACACCCAGCCCAGCCATCACTGAGCGCGAAGGGACAGACATCTTCGGACCCGCCAGGAGCCACGCTCCATCTGCCAGGCGCTCTCTCGAGCTCCGGGAGGACCTGCTCTGTTACAACGAGAGCATAAACCGAGCCAGAGAGCTGGCCGCAGCCCCACGCAGGAGCCGGAGCAAGGGAGCCCCCGGGGGAGCGGGGGGAGAGGTCTGCAGGGCAGCTGCGTCCGGTGAGGCTTGGCCGTTCAGATTGGACAGCTGAGGACGAGGCTTCCCCAGGAGCGCCTGCCCCGACACGCGCCTGCCCCGCGCTGGAGGGCGGGAGGGCCCCGGCGGGGTTAGAAGCAGAAGCGCAGGGCAGCCCGTCCTCCCGTCCTCCCGGCCCTGCCTAATGCCCTGGCTGTGGGGGCCTGGTGCCCCTAGATCATCCGTGTCCCCGCCCCCTGACGGCGCCAGCGGCTCCTGAACCCTCAGGGAGGCTGAGGCCAGACCCGGCCCCTGAGGGTCTGCAGCCCCTCTTCTCTTGGGGCCTTCAGCTGAGCCCTCGGTCAAAACAAAAGAGGACGCAGCCTGGGGACATACGCCAAAGGCTAAAGGAGAGGGGACAGTCCACAGGGTCTGCAGGAGGTGACTTGGGGAGGGGCAGTCCCCTCAGCAGCAGCCGGGCTACCGAAAACGCGCTATTTCATACCTGGCTCCTGCATGTCTATTCCACTGTTTTTCTTCAAACCGACCCTCCCTGCTCTTCTGCATGCACAACACATGCCACTCGGAACCGTCGATGCGCCTTCCCACAGCACTGAGGCAGCAGGACATGGAGTAGGGTAGCGTCCACACAGCGGGGGGACAGCGCGGGGCGTGGGGGCGCCCGCCCGCAGAGAGGCACGCGGCTCTTCTGGAGACAGCCCGAGGCCGGCAGATCTGAACGCAGGCGGAGGCCGGCTCTGGGCGCGCGGCGAGCCTCCGAGGCCCGAGCTCCTCCCAGGTGGTCGGCAGACCCAGCGCCCGTTCCGATTCAACTTCCTGCTGTCGTCTTACCACACGCGTTCTAACGCGTGTACGGAAGAGTGAAGGTCAATGATACAGAGGTTGATTTTGAAGAGGGAAAAAGAAAAAGCAAAGCAAAGGGGCGGAACGTACAATCGGATATGAGGACGTGTCTCCAAGTGCAGCAGGGACACGGGGCGGTGTGGGCACGGGAGTTGGCAGAGGCCGGAGGCGAAGCCGGAGCGGCCGGCCCTCTGCGGCTCTGGGGTTCTGGGGTCCGAGCTGAGAACCGCAGGCCGGCGTTCCGTCTGCGAGGCTCAGGCCAGAGGCTGGAGGTCTCCCCTCTGGAGAAAAGACCCGGATCCTAAAACCCGGGCCCCCCAGGGGAGGGCCGGACACCCGCCCTGTGGTCCCCCATGAAGAACACACCTGCCCAGATGCACATGAGCCCCCCGCGGCCCTGCGTTAAAGGGAATGGGACGGGGCATGCTGACCACCTCGGAGACAGCAGAAGGAGAAGGGGATGCCAGGTGCAGGGGACACACGGACACACTTACAGACTGACAGGGTCACTGACTGGGGCATGATGGAATTTCAGGACCCGGACACGGCCTGAGGGACACAGAGGTTCAGGGATTGGCCCAGCTGTTACAACGACACCAGAAGCAACGGGCAGCCCTGTGGCCAAGCCAGGATGGGCCACCTGGTCAGACCCCCATCAGGAGAGGGTCCCAACCAGTCGGCTTTCAGGAGACACTTCTCAGATGAGGAAGGCCAGCAAAATGAGGACAAGGACCAGGGGAGAGGAAGGTAGGGGTCAGTGACACTGGGACAGAAGACAAGGGCCCCCTGGGTCCTGGAGAAGGGCACCAGCCTGGGGCGGCTGCCACGGAACACCCATTGCAGGACGACCAGGCACGCTGACCTGCGTTCTCCAGAGAAGTGGACAGATACACACGTGTGTGTATATAAAAGTCGCTCTAAGGGACCAGTCACCCGGTGCAGGCCGCGAGGTCCCCAACCGGCGGGCGGCGAGCTGCAGACCCAGGAGAGCCAGCCGTGGGCTCCACTCTGAGCCCCCAGGCCGAGCAGGCCCGTGTCCCAGCTGGACCAGCAGATTCTCTCTCCGCCTTGATGTTCTGTTCGCACCCCCGACTGATCGGACGAGGCCCACCCACGCTGGGCCGGCATCTGCTTTACTCGGTTCACGGAGTCAGATGCCCATCTCATCCGGAAACACCGGAGTCATGTTCCACCAAATGCCTGGGCGCCCGCGGCCCAGCCACGCGGACGGGTAAAGCGAGCCATCACGAAAGAAGGAACAAGACGCGATGATGAAACCAGAGGCTCAAGTGTGGAAGGAAATGTAAGCAGGGTGCAATTCTTAACGGCTACCAAGTGCCCACTCTCACGCAGCACTGAGACAGCAGGGCCCCGAGAGGGACACCCTGGGAGAGGAAGAGGGGGCCGTGCGTGCACGCTTCCACGTGGGAAGCCAACGACGGCTGAGTTCTCCAGGCTGTGGGGCTGAGGGAGTGCACCTCAGTGCACCAGGCCACCTCACTTCCTCCTCACCCTCCGCGGTATGTGTCAGGGAAGGCAGTGCGCGCCCTGGCCCAGACCTTCCAGGAGGATGGTCACTGGACCTCCCAGTGGGGCCTTCCGGGCAAGCGTTTCCTCCCAATTGCAAAACCGCTCCCCTTTCCTGATGCCACTGGGTCTGTAGGCAATGCCGGGGCCACGGTAGCCACCCTGTGACCGTGCGGGTGAGTGGGGCTGACATGCTGTGCATGGTGGAGCGCTCAGGGGACGGCTCTGAGGCCTCCTCCTTCCAGGCTGCTCCCGTGACACGGTCAGCCCCGTGCGGTGTGCATTCCTTCGGGTGGCCTCCTGGCTGCCTGTGGCTGAGCCTGTCCCAACTAAGGCATTACACGGATCACACGGCCAGAGGATGATGCCTTCAACCCATAATCAAGAGGCAGCCCCGTGAGCACAGATACACGGAGAGGATGAGCAGAGACATCAGCTCCAGACATTAGTTCTGCACCTGCTTTCCACGCCCAGCCCTGATCAGCTTCACCATTCCTGCTGGCCTGCCGCCCCTCTGGCCCTCCCTGCGGGCACTGCCCTCCATCCCCGGAGCCTCTCATATCACGACCCCTGACCAGTATCCTCATCTCTCTGGGCCCGCGGCTGCCCACCGCCCCCACTGGGAGAAGGCTGAACCTTGGGGGGAGCCGGGGCCCACCTGGTCCACGAGGAAGCCCTGCTGGCCGGGCCATCAGGACTCCCAGCCTGCCCTGTGGGGACTGCCGTGCAGCCACCCTCCCTCCCATCCTGGCCTCAGCAGGTGGCCCCAGCTCCTACCCAGAGAAGGGAGTTAGCGGCCAGCAGAAGCCTCCCAGGGGTCCCACCAGCGCCTGCCCACGGCGGAGGAGCAGATCCCTCTCGCGTTCCAGCGGCACTGAGCGGTCCCAGGGCCCCCCCGACACAGGGTCCTGCCCGGCTGTGGTGCCCCTGGGCCCCCGTCCTGACCCCCAGACCCGCGGCTGTGGAACCTCACGGGGCACAGACGTGAGATGGGGAGATAAGCCTGGGTTATTGGGGTGTGCCCGAGGTCATCACAAGCGTCCTTATGAGGAGGAGGAGGAGATGTGATGATGGGAGCAGCATCAGGGAGAGAGCCCAGGTGTGTGGGCACCTCTAGGAGCTGGAAAAGGCCAGGACGTGTTCTGTCCGGAGCCTCCGGAAGGAACGCAGCGTGCGGCCTGGTCCTCGCCCAGGGAGGCCTGTGTCGGACTCCTGCCCCCAGAGCTGCAGAATGATACATCTAAGCGGTCTTCGGCCATCACGTTTGCGGTCGTAGGTCTCTGCGGTGCGGGGTGCGGACGCAGGGCTCACGCCAGCTCAGTTCGCCGGCCCGGCCCTTCCTCGTCCTCCAGGTCTCTGGGACGTCGGCTCCTTGGCTAGACCATCCCGCAGCCTGGCCCCCTTCTGCATGGGCGCGGGGTACTTGTCCCAGTCCCTCTCCCAGGCCCCCGGGCGTGCGGTAGGCGCTCCAGAGAAATGGCGTACTCACACCTCACCCCAGAGACCTGCCCACGCCCCGGGATCCTGACCCCAAGCCCACAGTGAGGCTGCACTGGCCACGTCCTAGACGGAGGGGAGCGTGGGGAGGTGGGCTGGGTGGCCATGGTCAGCATGGAACGTTCTTGTGTCTGAATTATCTGAATTTTGTTACTCTTTGTGGCTGAATGATATGGCTGGGCCACACAGCTGACCCGCCGGCTGAGTCCACTCTCCAGTCCTAGGTGCAGCCCTGGGAAGGTACCTAGTGGATCCCACGGCAACTCGACGGCTACCTTTTGGAGGAACGGCCAGACCCTTTCCCCTAGGGGCAGCACCTTGCAGATAGCCTGAAGGGACACCACCAGCCACCTCTGCTTGCATTATGAAAATGTTACTTTCCCTCCGCTGCAAGGAAACAATGCGGGGTGCAGAGGCTGCCTCTTCTTCCCAGATGCTCCTGGCTCCCCGCGGCTCCTCCTCTGCCCGGGCCGGGGCTCTGCGAGTGGAGGAGACGCCCGCCTGGCTGCTGGGGCGGTGGGCCCTGGTGTGTGTCTCTCCGGTGTGTAGGACACGGGGCAGCCGGCGAAAGCTGGGAAGCATAAACCCCTAGGTTTATTGGGCGGTGTGATGGCGACTCTCTGACACCAACCCCCAGGAACCGTGCTTCCCCAGGGCTCCAGAACCCCGTGAAGCCTCCTCCCTCGCGCAGCCCCAAGACCTGCCTTCTGACACAGGATGCAGCGAAGGAGTGCTGCCTGACATGTGAGGTGCGTCGCGGGAAGTCTGGCCTGGTGACCCTGTGCTGGGGGAGCACCCCACTGCTCTAAGACCGCATGCCTCACAGAAGGGACCTGTGCGGGCAGATGGCCAGCCAGCCCCGCGGCTCCGGCCGCCCAGCTGAGCTGCCAGACACGGGGCAATGAAGCCGTCCTGCACGTGCAAGCCCGCGGAGCCTCCTGAAGATTTCGGCCCCTGCGGCCCCCTGACCACAAGTGCAGAGAAACCCCACGGCAGAGCTGAACCAGGGCCTTCCGTGCACCCAGACACTTAGCAACAAATGGGTGCTTCGAGCCACGACATTTTGGGGCGCCTCGTTACACTACACAGCAATAGATAAGGAGACACGGGAATCAGCTTCAAGGCCAGGTGGCCAGTCCCGCCTGGCTATTAGCTGTGGGGCCATAGTCCAGAGAGCAGGTGCAGGGCTCAGCTCTCCTACCCCACGTTCTTAGCAGCCCCCGGGGAGGCAGCGGCTGCATTTGGAAGGGGTCCTCAGATCCACACCACCCCACAGCTGTTGGGGCCTCTTCACAGCTAGGGAGGGGTGTCAGCAGGGTGGGCCTTCCTCAGGGTGGGAATAGCAGCAGGCCCCAGAGGTGAAGGGGGCGCAGCTCCAGAGACTGGGAGCGGCAGCTCCTCCCAAGTGGGGCAGGTGGGCGGGTCCTCCCAGGAACCCCGAGCTGAGGGCCTGGCTCTCTGCCCCGGCCCTGGTCCCGCCCCCTTCCCGGGCTCTCCAGCCTCCCCCTCCTTCCAGGGCTGCTGTTTTCCCGGCCATCAGGCTCCCCGGAGGTGTCTGCACTGTCCCCCACCACCGCCCGCGCAGTGGCCCTGCAGCCGCCGACCGACCCCTTCCTTCCTCCTCTTGCAGGCTCCACCGGGCAGCCGCGACCGCCGACCGGAGCCTCCCTTCAGGGCCCAGCTTCTCCTCCCCTGGGGCCTGACCTCGCCCCCGCATCACCTCATCTCAGGGCCGCGGTCAACCGGGCTGGGGTGGGACAGCCGCTCGGCTCCTCCCGCCAGGGCTGGACCGCGAAGTCCCAAGTCCCTCGAGCACGCGCGATCGCTTGTCCGGCGGGTCCCCTCCAGCCACGCCCGCGCCCGCCAGCCCGCCCGCACACCCCGCGGGACGCCGCCCCGCAGCCGGGGTCCACCGGCTAGCCCCCCACTCCGCTCGCACGTGGGGGCGGACCCGGGAGGGCCCCACCTGCGCGCGGACCCGGCAGGTGCTGCCCGCGCGCCCGGCCCGGCCCGCCCCAGCCCGCCCCCGCGCCCTCCCGCCCCGCCCCGCGCACACTGGGCATGCCCAGAGCCGGGTCACGCGCCCGGCAGCCCGAGGCCGGTGCGGACTCTGCCCGCGTCCGCCCCGGCCGGGCTGCCCAGCGCGCTGCCATGGAGCGCATCGAGGGGGCGGCCCTGGGCCGCTGCGCAGCCTCGCCCTACCTGCGGCCGTTCACGCTGCACTACCGCCAGGTGAGCCCGCCCCGCCCGCGCGCGCCCTCCGCGGCCGCCCCCCCCCCCCGGCCGCCCCGGCCCCGCCGAGCCCCGCCCACAGGCTGGGGCCCGCCCCCGCCCCGCCCCCTCCCTCGTGGAGCGCCCCCAGCCCCGCGTGCGGGTCCGGTTCGAGTCCGCTTCCCAGACCTGGTAAGCGCCCGAGTCGGGGCAGCTCTGGGGACGACCATCCCTCCGAGGAGGCTTTGCCGGGCCCCGGCACTTTTTGCAGGGGGACCTATGGGGCGCCCCGGGGGTCAGGGAAAGCTTCCTGGAGGCGGTGGTCTTCATTCTCGGCAGCGGCAGCGGAGGTAGGGTTGTGGCGTGAGGAGGCAGGAGAGGGATCTGGCAGAGCCCTGGGGAGCCTCTCCAGGTGGGCTCCCTTCCGAGGGCACCTCCTCAGAGCCCCCACCTCGCAGGGATGCAGGCAGGCTGCACCCCGGGCAGCCCTCTCCTCCGGCCCCCAACCCCCACCCCCGTCCCCAGCGAGGGCAGGACCGCGCTGACGCCCAGAGTACTGTGCATATAGCGAGTTCACGAGAAATGTTTGTTGGGCGAGTGAGAACCAGTTCTGGGCTTTGGGCGCCCCACCTTCTGCTTGCCCGCTGTTGGGAGTGTCTCCGGGCCTTCCAGATGAGGACTGCCCTCCCGCCTCGCCGCCGGGACAGGTGGTCCAGGTCTTCGGTGCTCCTCTTCCCGGCCGCCCTGGGCTGGCAGCTCCCTGTCGGCTTGCCGGCCCTTCCTGTCGCCAGCCCCGTGAAGCCTTCTTAGCCTCCAGCCCTTGCTCGCCCTGTCCGTGGAGCCCTGTTGGCTCCAGGGGGACAGGGGCATCATGTCCCTGGGATGGGCCCTGGTAGTGCTGGCCCGGGGCAGAAGCAGGGGGTCAGTTGAGGGACAGTGTGGGGACATGGAGGCCTCTGTTCTTCTCCTTGGCGTTGACTTTGGGTGCGGATGCCTGATGCCACCAAGGGGCTGGGGCTATGGTGGGGTAGGCAGTGGGTAGGCACAGGTGGTCCAGGCACACACCTGCTGTGTGGCCTACGGCTGCCGTTCTGTCTCCCCGAGGTGAAGCCTGTCAGTGCGGCTCCGCTGATGGCTGTGGTGACCGGAGCGGAGCCAGGGCTGGTGGGAGGCAGTGGTGGGCACGGGCTGGGGAGCCAAGGCAGCGTTCCTTCAGGGGCTGTGGGACGTGGGGCTGGGCCGTGCATGCCACCGGCGGGGAGGGGGCATCTGCAGCCATCCTTGGCCCGGAGAGACATGGTGGCCGGAGAGACCAAAGGCAGGTCACCCGGCCCCCCTGGAAGATTAACCGGGCCTAGCACCCACCTAGCTGGTCCGGGGGTCCTGTGGCAGGGCTGGCTAGGCCTCACTGGGCCTCTCTGGCCTGTCCCTTGCATCCTGTCTTGGCTGGACCGAAGGGTCTGACAGACATTGTGATCTTGAGCTGGGAGGGTCCCCGAGACTTGCACCAGGTGCCGCTTACCCCGAGGGCGGCAGAGACACAGCAGGTGTTGGCAGGCCTGGGGTGGGGGGGCAGGCCTGCTCTGGAGTGCGTCCTGGGTGGGTGGCCGGCCCCGGGTGGCCGGATTGCAGGCAGGCCCGGGCTTGCCTCCTGGGGGTGCTGCCTCCCGATGGCCTCCCAGGCAGCCTGACCATCCCCTTGAAACAAAGGCCCCTGCCACTCCTCTAGGAGAGCTCAAACCCACTCGCCCAGCTCCCCTTGGGCCAGCATGTGGGCCTCTGCCTGTGAAGCCCCTCTGCTTGGAATGCCCTTCCCTCACTTCTGTGGGGCCTGGTACAGCGTCACCTCTTCCAGGAAGTCCTCCCTCTTCTGCAGCCCCGGTTGCACGTTCTGTGTCTCTGGTGCTCAGGTCCATGTCCACTTCAAGGCCTGGACAGAGCCCTAAGGACAGGGCCTGCGGCTCTGCAGTGCCTTAGGGCTGACCCAATGGCTGAAGGCAGATGGGCTAAGGACGCTGGCGAGGGGCAGCCACAGGGCAGGGCTCCAGGGCCCTGGGTCCAGCCGCACTGGCAGAGACCCCTTGGGGAGGAGGCAGTGGCCGCTGTCCATGTCCACTCTAGCCCCAAGGATGGGAGCCCGCCTTGCCTAGTGGTATCCAGCTGGCAGGATTCTGGGCCCCTCATACACCCTGCCTGTTGGAACCCCACGAATGCCCCTTCTGGCTCCCCCAGTGGGCCTGGTCCAGCCGCTGCCTTGCACTGCCTCCTTCATTCACTGATTGCTGCCTGGAGCCCTGCGAGCCCGTCGGGGGGTGGTGCCCAGGCCTGGGAGCAGGATGACGGATGCAAGCGACAGAACAGCAGGGTGACAGGATGCACGAGAGACAGCCCGGGACAGAAGCCGGGCTGCGTCCAGTCACCATCACCACATCACCATGTCCGGCAGGGGGGTCCCCCTGCCTAGCTGGGGCGCTCCCGCCCCAGCTGCTCCCGGTGCTGGTGTCCTCAGGAGGCCGGCCTGCCCCTCCCGCCTTCCTGTCTGGCCTGTCCATTGGCCTGAGGGAGCATCGACACTGAAAACCTGATCTCTGCTCACCCCCACCCACACCCCATACTGCTCCTCCCCCATGACCCTCTCGGTCCTGCCTACACTTGGTGACAGCGTACGTCTCTGCAGCTCCTTGAACTCAGCCTGTGCCAAATGGCAGCTGCCTTTCCACCATGTGCTCTGGTTTTCGGCCCCACCCCTGGAGAACATCAGGCTGGCCTTGACCTCCCTCCCCAACCCGCTGCAGCTCCCCGCTCCTGATGGACCCAGGCCTTGAGGGGGCCGCCCGGGCAGGGACCGGTGTAGGGGGTCTGTCTGGCCTGCCCAGCTTCCCAGGGCACTTGCACACATGCCGGCCACCCTCTGGCTCCCCCTGACCCCTGACCGCTGGACTTCTCTTTCAGAATGGCACTCAGAAGTCATGGGACTTCATGAAGACACATGACAGGTGAGAGCCCAGCCTGGCCTGGCTGATGCCCACTGGGACACTGGGGCCCAGGGGCAGGGAGCCGCCCCCTGTCTCTGCCTTGCTGCACCCCTCATGTTCTCTGGGTGTGCCCTCTTGCTCCCGGCTCGGGCCGCCTGGACCATAGTGGCCCGCAGGCCCTCTTGGACCTGGAAGAGGCCATCTGGGTGCCCTCGTCCTGCCCCGAGCATCAGGGGTGTGGGCTAGACGGCAGTGAGGCGCGAGGAGTGTGGCTGGTAGGCAGCCGGCCAGCAGGGACCACATGTCCCGTCAGTCAGCCAGCCTCAGCTGCTGCCACCCCCGACCTGCCCAGCTGCCCAGCATGTCCTTCCCTACCCCCGTGCCCCCGTTCTGCCAGTCGGAATACAGTAGGCCTGCGTCCTGGCCTGACTGTGGGACCCTGGCACGCTCTGGCCCTGCCTGGGCCTCAGTCTCCCCATCTGAGTAAGGGACCAGTTTTCCCAGACTGCTGGGGAGCGGAGATGGGCTGAGCATGCTGGGAGCCAGGGGCCCGGGGGAGGTGAGGTGAGGAATTGCTTCTGTGCTGAGCTCCATCCACCCCCTACAGTGTGGCCATTCTCATGTTCAACTCTTCCCAGCAGAGTCTGGTGTTGGTGAAGCAGTTCCGGCCAGGTGAGGCCTGTGGGCATGGGCTGTGGGGCGAGGGGAGAGGCCCCTGGGGCCCTAGGGTCAGAATGTCAATGTGGGCTGGGGGCTCCAGTGGGAACCAAAGCCCAGTGAGGGGGTCTGCATCCACTACATGGCTGTGACCGTGGTCCGCCCTTCCCCAACCAGCCGTGTACGTGGGTGAGGTGGAACGCCATTTCCCAGGGTCCCTGGCAGCTGTAGACCAGGATGGACCCCAGGAGCTGCAGGTGGCACTGCCTGGCTCGGCAGGGGTGACATACGAGCTGTGTGCGGGCCTTGTGGACCAGCCCGGGCTCTCGCTGGAGGAAGTGGCCTGCACGGAGGCTTGGGAGGAGTGTGGCTACCGCCTGGCTCCCTCCGACCTGCGCCGGGTCGCCACCTACAAGTGAGTGGGCTTGGGCCACAGGCCTGCAAAGCTGGGGAAGGGCATCTTGTCGGCACCACCTGGGGGATGGGACAGGCTGGGAGGCAGTGAGCGCCCCATCCCCAGGGGCGTGCAAGCAGGGCAGTTCCTCCTTGTTTTTCAACATGGTGTCGGGGGAAGGTTGGGCAGAACCACCTCAGATTGTGCTCCAGGCCGGAACCCAGGGCTCTTGGGGGCGGTTCTGGAGCATGCGAGCCCCCACCCTTCGGCCCCTAGCTGTGTGGGGCTGTGTGGGGCCGGCTCTGGGCCCAGCTGCTGCTGGCAGATGCCTCTACTTCCTGTGGGATTAAGCACTGGGCGCCGGGGGTGGGGGTGAGTCACAGATCTGTCACACGGCGGCTCAGGAATGAGGCTGGGGGGCGGGGGCTCCTGCGTGGCTGGGGAGGGAAGGGGTGTGGCCTGGAGCCTAGACTTCAGGGCCTGCCCCCACCGAAGCCGGGCGGCCCCCACCACCTTCCCCATGCGGCTGTCCTTCCGGGACGGGACGGGACGCTGGGGTCACGCCCCTGCATCCCCTGCCCCAGCGATGCTGTCATGGGTCCCTGAGCCTGGTGAAGTGTGGGAGCAGGAGGACACCCTCCACCACAACACTGAGCATGGACCCCGACAGCCTTCTCTAGAGGGGAGGGGGCTGGTGGGGAGCTCTGCTTCGCAGCCCAGTGCAGGGGCCACTCAGCCTTGGGCCCAGGTCCTCTGCCTCAGCAGCCCAAGGGCTTTGTCAGGGCGTCTCCCCGGCCTGGGGGCTGGGGGGCTGGAGCTGACCTCCAGGCCGAGGAGGGAGAGGAGCCTGGGCTTGGAGCCCCCCACGTTCAACATAGGTGCCAAGCGGTTGAGCGTCTTTTTTTTAAGACTTTATTTATTTATTTGAGAGAGAGAGCGTGAGAGAGAGCACGAGAGGGAGGAGGGTCAGAGGGAGAAGCAGACTCCCCGCCGAGCAGGGAGCCCGATGCGGGACTCGATCCCGGGACTCCAGGATCATGACCTGAGCTGAAGGCAGTTGCTTAACCGACTGAGCCACCCAGGCGCCCGTGGTTGAGCATCTTGGTCTGAGGGGCAGGCCTGCTGTCTGCAGGTGTCCTTGGTGCTGGGGGCCAGGAGCATCTGAGGGTCCTGATCTGGGGCCGGGGTTGAGCCAGCGGGAGGCACCCTGGCAGGGCGGGGGACCCTGGATGAGGTGAGCCTGGGCGGAGTCCTGGCAGAGGGGCTACACCGCCTCCCTTGTTCTGGGGCACGTGGATGAACAACCCCCGCCGCGGTGGTTCCAGGAGCAGGGCGTCAGGGCTATAGCCTGATCCCGAGGGTGCTGGGGAGCCCGGGAGGGCTCTGGGCAGCAAGCAGCTTGTGAAGACTTGCATTTTGCAGACGAGGTGTGGCTGTGGGGAGGCAGGACTGAAGGGGCTGGAGTAGAGGTCAGGGCAGCTGTGCCTGGGGGTCTGCTGGGAGCTGGACAGACAGCGAGAGCCAGGCCACTCACCTGCCGGTCACAGGTGACAAGGCCCAGGCATTCCTCTGCGATCGCCCAGCAGACGATGGGGCTGTGCATAGTCTTCTTGCTCCGGGTCAGAGGCTGTGCCCGTCTCCTTCACGTGCCGGCGGAAACTGGGCCTGGAAGCCCCCCAGACTGGCGCTTCCATCAAAGGCGCAGGCCGTGGCCCCCGCCGGAAACAGGCCGTCAGGAGGGACTGTGGCAGATAAGCGGCTGGGGGTGGAGGAAGCAGCTGGGTGAGGCCCGTCTGGATGGGGCTCCCCTCCTGGGGAGTGGGGCACGGAAGCCCCCCTGTGTGCTGGGCCGCTTGCAAGAACAGCCTCCACCCTGCAGGTCTCTGGCTGGCCTCAGACACCCTCTGGTCCTCCTCTTCCCCTGCACACTTGTGCTTGACTCTCCCCTCCAGTCCCGGGATGCAGACGGGCCTGCCCCTGCCCTGTCCTCACAGACGTCCCATCCCGGCTGCCCACTCCGGCCTTCCACTGCTGCCACTCTGGGCCACGGCTGCCACTGGGTGCCTGTCCCCTTCCTGGTGGCCACCAGCCACCGAGGGAGGGGACTCCCTCTCACCCCTCCACGCCCCGGCTGCCTCAGCACAAGCCCTCCCCAACCTGGAAGTGGCGTCCCGGCGGGGCTGGCATTAGGGGCTGTCACAGGCCGGGCCACACGGTTGCCAGGTGGGTCCTTGCTTCCGGCCAGCCTGGAGCCCTGGGTGCAGGCCACGGTCTGTGCTGGGAAGGGAGGCCCTGGCTGAGGGGCTCCCGTGGGCAAGAGGGGTCGCGACCTGCACGAGGGTGCTGCAGACCCATACCGCAGAGATCTAACGGCTTTAGTCAACCCCCCTTTACAACCTCACAGTAGCTGTGGGTCTGCAGTCTGCTTCCTGGGAACAGGCCAGTGCTCATGGGCCATGCTACAGTCAGGGCATCGGCCGGGGCCATGGGCTCATCTGGGTCTCAGGGTTCCCTTTCCAGCTCACGTGGTTGTGGCAGAATCCAGCTCCCTGTGGCTGTGTGGCTGAGGGCCCCATTTCCTGGCTGGCTGTTGGCCGGGGACCACCATCCGCTCCCTGAGGCCACCGGCAGGCCTGGACCACGTGGCCCCCACCCATGGCAGCTTGCTTCGTCTACAAGGCTCGCAGGATGGTGCCTCTCTGATTTCCTCCATCTCTGTCGTCTAAGCCTTCACCAAAGAGCTCACCTAATTAGGTCAGGCCCACCAAGATAATCTCTCAATGAACTGGAAGTCAACTGATTAAAGCCCTCAGTTACACGTGCAGAATTCCCTTGCCACGTGACATAAGAATCACAGAAGCGATAGCCAGCATGTTGCCAGGTTTCTGCCACACTTGAGGGTGGTGGGAATCTGGCGGGGGACGCAGGGCGGTGTATCCCGGAGTCCTGCCTGCCAGACGGGTCTCCCTGGCAGGAGTGGCTAGAAGGAGGGCTGGAAGGGGCAGGGGTGGCCCGTGAGGCCTGCGTGGGTGGCTCAGGAGATGCTGTCTCAACCCGTAGGTCTGGTGTGGGACTCACTGGCTCCAGCCAGACTATGTTCTACGCAGAAGTGACAGATGCCCAGCGGGGCAGCCTGGGCGGGGGCCTGGAAGAGGAGGGCGAGCTCATTGAGGTGGTGCACCTGCCCCTGGATGGTGCCCAGGCCTTCGCGGATGACCCGGATGTCCCCAAGACCCTCGGTGTCATCTTTGGCATCTCATGGTTCTTCAGCTGTGTGGCCCCTGGCCTGGGTCCCCAGTGAGACTCCAGGGGCTCAAGATCAAGGCTGATTCTGGCCACTCGCCCTACAGATCAAATAAAGGCTCGTGTGGCTCCAGCCTGTGTCCACTGGTTCCGAGCTGTGAGCAGGGGTGGGCTGGGGGAGGTGGAGGGACAGTGGATCTTTCCCAGATGGGCCCTGGGGGAGGGTGGGCTCTCCATGAGAGCCTCTCAGCTCCACTGGGAAGCCTCTGGCTGCAGGCAGGGAAGGGACGGCTGTGGGCAGCTGGTGGTGGGCAGAGGACTAAGGTCAGGCCTTAGGTGGGGGCCTGGGGAGAGACAGGGAGGATGGTGCCAGGCCAGGCCACCTCCCAGGGCAGGGGAGGTGGGGATGGGGGCTCGGCCGGGCAAGCACTCGAGGAGGACTGCGTGGTGGGCCACAGGGTGGCCGTATGGCCATGGTAGTGGCAGCTGAGCCAGCCCTCAGGAGGCGGGGGTGGGGATGGAAGTGCAGGCTGTGCATTCCGGAGGGCACACGCTCCCAGCTCCGGGGCTGAGCTAGAGCCCCTCTCCGGGAGCCCGAAGCCAGAGCTGCTCTGGATCTAGGTCTCATGCCCCCAGTAGCCCCTGCATCCCCTGGGCCGTTGGGAGTTTGTGCCAGCCTGCGTGTGGGCCTGCAAGCCCAGAAGGACCCCTGCCTTGCACACTCGCCTGCGTCTGTGGCCCTTAAACACTTGGGGTCACAGGAGGGCCCGGTGCCCACTCAGCTACGCACCCAGTAAGGCCTCCACAGGTAATGGGTGGATTGGAGCCCATTGTGGAGAGTATGCCGCAATCTCGGGCCTTTGCAGGATGGGGGTCTGGCCTGAGGGCTGGGGAAGCTCCTGGAGGGAGGGCCAGCCTGACCCTTCCCCTGAGCCCTCCAAGTGCTCCGGCTAGCCCCAAGGGCCATGCTGTGGGTGATGGGTTTTGGGCGGTTTGGAGAGGGCAAGGTGTCCAGGGGCTGTTGCCGTCACAGGCAGGGGGGACTGGAGTGGCCAGGAGCTGTGCTGCAGACCTCACTTAGTGCCCTGAGCCGCCGTGTCCCCTGGGACTGGGCCTCAGGCCGTCACGGTGGAAGATGCTGAACAAGACCGTGCCTTTGGCTCTCACTGAGACCCCGTTGTCAGGTGGGGACGCCTCACTTGGGCTGAGGTCCACCTGCCCCCCTGTAATCCCCCTGCCCTGGGCCCAGGCTGACCCCATGTAGGCAGGTGTTTTTTTCTGAGCAGGCATGGAGGGTCCGTCCCTCCTGCTGGCCTGGGGAGTGCTTGGGGGGCTCGGCCCAGTTGGGACCGGCACAGTGCAGACAGCCCCTGGCCTGGCGACGGAGGCTGCCCCGCGGAGGCCGTGCCCAAGGGGCCTGCTCAAGCAGCACCACCTGTATGCAAATGCTGGCTGCACCCAGGTAGGGCCTCCTGCGAGCCCCGCCAGTGAGGGACCTGCTGCCGAGGAGGGGCCCTCAGGCATGGGGTGTGTGCCCAAGGGGCTGGCAGGGCTGGGCTGCAGTGGGGTCCTGGGCAGCCCCGCTCCACCCTGTCCGGAGGAGCCCAGCGGGGCTGCAGTGCATCTGGAGAACAGCTCACTGCCCAGCCTAGAACCACCCCACCCTGGCTCCCTCCCTTGCGGCCCGCCTGGTGCCCACCTCTAGCGCTCCACTGTCCTTGGCGGGCCTGCAGGCATTGCCCACGGCCTCAGATCGGCCTCTGGCAGGAATGGGTGGCGCCGGCAGCTCCCTGTGCTGTGGGGAGCAAGCTGGAGGCTCCGAACTGGCAGGGTGGGGGGTGAGGGACAGAGCCCCTGGATGTGGGTGCAGCCCAGCCCCCTCAGGCTGCTCTGCGGCCTGACCAGACAGGTCAGCAGGCACTGCTGCTGGGCCTAATGGAGCTGGCATCGATTTCCCGGCACTGGGGGCTTGGTGGGGGGGGGGGGCTGTAACCGGAAACTCCCCTCCCTGCTGCTATATTTGGCAGCACAGGACGCGGGCGGAAGCGCAGCTCACTCCTGAGCCAAGCCGGCTCTGTCCGAACTCTGGGCAGCCTGCCCCCCAGCCTGGTCCTGAAGGCCCGCTGCCAGCGTGGGGGCCTCCACCCCACGTACACCTTGGGCACAAGCGGCGCACCCACCTCGGAACACGCCTGAGAACCCCTCTTACTGGGGAGCTCAGGGAGGGAGCCCCCAGGCTAGGGGGCAGGTGGAGCTGGGTGGGAGACACATATTGTGACCCAGTGGGTCCCAGAGCAGGGACAGGGTCTTCCTGGAAGAGGCGGGGCAGCCTGGCCCGAAGCAGGAGCCCTGGCCCCATCAGATCCCCAGCCCTCCAGCCCAAGGGCTGCAGAAATCCCTATGGGGGGACCCCAAAGGGGAGGACTTGCCCATCTCCCCGCAGCCCCCAAGGCCTACCCCTTGCCTGAAGTGGCCACCTTCCTGACTTGACCCTTTCCTGGGTATTCAGTCTGGGCTGTGGCTCCTAGGGAACAGGAGGGAAAGGGGACAGGGAGTGGGAGGGGGCTTCCATGCCCTGCTGGGTGGCCCCCTGGGAGCCAGCCCCCGACAGGCATCCTGGGTCTGCTGGCCCCCTGGTACTGCCCTGATTCTCACCCAGCTGCTCTGGGCCGGGAGGACCCCCGTCCTGCTCCCACGAGGTCTGGGGGGAGGCAGATGAGGCCAAGCCATTGTCTCCCTAGCTTTGCAGGGCAGGTGGGGGCTCTCTGCATCCCCGAGGCAGGGCTGGCCCTCAGGAAGGGCCCCGGGGAGGCTGCATCCTTGGATAGGCTGAGCCTGAATCTCGAGATGGCCTGAGCATCCCTCACGGGTGCCTCCAAGCTGAGACAGCTCTGGGCGGGGAGAGAGCCATTGCTGAAACGCAGCAGCTTCTGGAGCTGGCCGCGCAGCAAGTCTCTGGGCTGTCCTTCCCTCCCAAGCTGTGGCCACGGGCAGGAAGCTGCAGAGGTGGCTGAGGGAGGGGCACACCGGGGGGTTGTTCTCTGGATCCCGCCTCTCACTTTGCCAGGAATTCCCCCTGCTCGGTCCCTCCACTGCCAGGCCTTGGCCCGGTCACTGTCCTTCTCACTTGCACTGTGGCCCTGCCCTCCCCCCCTGCTGCCCCTGCCCCGCAGCCAGGGATCTCTGTGAGAATGTAAGTCACCACCGGGCAGCGCAACCCGGCTAGCTGCTCTCCGTGCTTCCCTTGGTCTTAGCATGAAGACCAGTGGAGAGGCCCAGTGCAGCCCGGCACCCACTACCACCAGAAGCCTCACCTAGGCCCCTCACCCGCTCGGCCTCTGCCACTGTGTCCTTCTCACAGGCCTTCATGGGGGTCAGGCTTCCTCACCCCGGGGCCTTTGCATGTGCCGTTCCCAGCTCCTCACCCGGCTGACCCTCGCCTGCCTTTGGGTCTTAGCAGGCCCCCTGTACAGTTTGCCCTGTTGGCCTCACCGTTACAGTTTGTCATTCTATCTCTGTTCACCCCTAGACCAGGGCCCCCCCCCCAGGGGTTCACCACTTGGCTGAATGCTGGGCAGAGGCACCCAGGGCTTCCCTGGATAGTGGGGCGGTGGGCATGGACCAGGATGGAGCCCTGATCCCCTGGAGCTGTGCATGTGTGTGTGTGTGGGGGGGGGGTCTCCTCACTTGTCTTGGGGTCTGCAGTACATGGGTGCCTGCTTCTGGGCCAGGGCAGAGAAAAGGAAGCATCCCCACAGTGACCCCCCCCCTTCCCGGCCAGCAGTAACTGGAAGGTTCTGAACACAGCTTGCATTCCCTTATTTGGCGGGGGTCGCTGCGTGTGGCAGGCCTGGCTTGTGTCCTGCCCCCTCATCCCAGCAGACAGAGGGGCTCAGGTAGGGAGGGATGGGCCCGCGAAGCAGAGCCAGGCCCACCCCTTCAGGGCCTTCCAGCTGCCCCCAATGCCCGGATCCTGGAGGGGCTGCTTAGCGGCAGCGCCGATACACCCCATGTTGGGGTGGTATTCTCTGACCTCGGGGCCCCTTGGGCAGCTTGCCGCACACCCTAGTGAGAGAGGGCGCGGCGCTTGCGCTCCCGAGCCCCTTCTGCCAGGCCCTCCGCCCCCGCGCTTGGCCCCCTTCAAAGCCGCTTCTCCCAGGAAGCCTTCCGCGCCCCACCCCGCCCCAGCGGGCGCCGGCCGCAGCAGCTACTCGATCCAGGCAGGGACTGCACTCCCAGCGCCCAGCGCCCAGCCAAGGGGCCCACGGCAGACTTGCGCGAGGAGCCAGAGGAGAGAAGATAGCCCAGTTATTGCGGGGTGGGGCCGGACCCCTGCGGACCTCGGGGTCCCTAGCTGCCCGGGCGACCGCCAGCCCTGGAAGGGACCCTGCTTGCTGCAGGGGAGCTGATGTTTGCAGACAGGGAACCCTTGGGGTTGACCCCGGGCGGGGGGGCGTCGCGAGGTTGCCCCGGCAGAGGGCAGCACGGTGATGACGGAGGAGCGGGACGTGGGGACCTGGTGACCAGGACAGCAGGAGGAGCCTCTCTGGGAAGCTCTCACCTCGTCCTTCTGAACGTGCACCACCGTCTCTGTTCCCCGACCGTGTCCCCGCCTCCCCGCCCGAGCCCAGCCTCCGGCCTGGGTGTTCCGCAAGAGCGTGGCCTGCCGACCCCCGCGCCGGCGCGGACCCGGGCACCCAGCTTACGCCGCGGAGCATCTGTTGCCTGGCGGCCCGACCCGCGACCGGTGCGGCGGCAGGGCAGGGGTGCCGGGGAGGAGCAGCGCCCCCTGCGGCCGGCGTGGAGGCGGTAGGCGCGGCGCGGCGGGGGGCCTTCCCCAAGGAAGGGTCCCCGGCCGCGCCCGCCCCGCGCGGGGGCAGAGCCCTGATCTGTGCTGGAGGCGGCTTCTCCCCTGGGACGGCGAGGAGCGCGGCGGCGGCGCACTGATGGGAGGGGACCTCGGCGGTGACCTCAGGGGCGCCCCACCCCCGGCTCCTGACACCCGGCGGGGCTCGGGCGAAGGGAGGCCGCTTGGCGGCGCCGGGCCCCGCACGCCGGCTCTGGCGGAGGCGTGACGGAACCCCGGCCGCCCCGGAGCCCGGCGAAGCGCGCGCCGGGCCTGGGCGCGGGCAG